AGGATTCTAATAAAAAGGGAAATAACAATATAAAAGAATTCTAAGAGAGAGAAGCAAATCCTGCCCCGTCTGTTTTCGCCACGTCGGGAAATTCCTTTCCAAGTCCTTTTCACCAAAATAGCTCGAGTAGGCTTGGGGAGTGCGCTTTTTGATGGGTAATGAGACCGCATGTGAGCGGAAATGACTTATAATCGCTAGCTAGTCGTCGAACCCATCTTTATGTGATGTAACTTTTATCGATCACTCGCGAACTTCGCCCCCATGTCAAATATATTCAATTAGACTCAAGAGTTCAGATCTTCTGCATACAATGCCCTCATCTATACTCAACTCCAACAGCTGTTTAAACACTTAGGTAATAATAACTTAGGTATAATTGAGATCTTTGTAATGATAAGTCCCTGTATATGCGTGCATGCCTACTGCCGGCTTCCTTAATACCTCAAATCTTTTAGCAAATTTCAAAGCTTTGTAGATGTCATCTTAAACGCATTGAATACTGTTTGTTTGCTTTTCTTCAGATCAAATATTCCCGTGCGACAGCAATCCATGCCAAAATGGCGCCACTTGTAAAAACGATCCTAAAGACATTTCCAAATACAACTGTCAGTGTGCAAACTGGTTCACTGGGATAAACTGTCAAGGTAATTGTAACGTTAAGTCCGCTTATTTTACTTAAAATTTAGAATACGTGGGTCATTCCTAAACTAATGTTTAAGGTACCCAACTAATATTAAAGGCCCCGTTAGCTCCAAGCGTGAATAACGCTTTGCACTAGATAAATCTCTTGGCGGATAGTACGGTACATTATTCTGCTGGGACACTTATCCGCGTGATCCATAGCAAGTTATGCCTTGGATGGCGCAATCCGTCCTTTGAACAACTGGCCCGCTATAATAGATTTCAATGGTCAGAATAAATCAATACAGGAATACAGGCTCCGTTAGCTCGAAGGGTGGATAACGCTATGTAATAGATAAATCTCTCGGCGGATAGTGCAGTAAATGTTTCTGTTGGGACACTTGTCCGCTAGATTGACAGCAATTTATTCCTTGAACAACTTTCCTCTTATAATAGATTTCAAAGGTCAAAATATAGGAAGTCTAAGACAAATATTGGTTTTCCCTTTCAATAGTATCATTTTTATTATGTAAGACCCTTGTCACTTTGCAATGTAACAATGCACTTTTCATACAGGGAACGATTCCAGCGGTTAAGTCTAAAACAATGCCTAATCCGGCAGAAATTAGTTTGTCCATGTGGTACAGTGTGCTCGGATTCTTCTTTAACTTAGAATTCTGACAGA